ACCAGTTTTTAATACTGTAAGCAAAAATATTCCCCAATGATAAAATTATCCAGTAGTTTTCAAAGTTACTTTTTAATCTTGTCATGGGTGTGGGGGAGGGATGGACAGTAAGGAGAAGAGGCACATCCCACCCATAGATTCCTGATCCACTACAGCCAAAGAATCGTATTTCCATTATTCATATTAGTATGGAGTGTAGTATCTAGAAATTGCTGCTGATAGACTCCAAATTAAAATGCACACACTTAAAAAGATTCAGTGATTGTGTTTTTCACAAAGCAAGGGGAAAAAATCCCTACTTTTAGAGGATCTGAATGAACTGCTTTCAGAACCTATCTTTAAAGAGAGACAAACGTGCTATCTTCTTCCCCAGTTTTCTCTGTATCTTACGGAAGCCGACCCTAAGCTCCAATTTACTGAACACTTATTATGCGTCAGGCACTGTGGCAAATGCTCTGTACCTGTTCACTCATTTAATTTCTCCAACAACCTTGCCCAACATGTACCACAGAACATGAAGCCTACAAGTTATAAAGCAATGCTACTCAAAGTGGACCTGATGCCAGTCTGCAAACTGTTACTAGTCCATGATAACATGTTCTAGGTCACTAAGCACATTAAGTTCAGCTAAACTGTGCTGCTTTATATTCTAGGCCAAGCTCCCGACCCATCCTGAACTGCTAACAGCACGTGGACTGGCTATTTTGAGTAACATCGTTCTAGACCTCAATTTGGGATACTGTCCCTCCTCTAGTTTTCTGCCCCTGCTGTCAAACAAGATTTAAATAAATTAACAACCAAATGCTTAGCTTAGGCAGTCACACGGTAATAGAAAAAACAAAAATGGGCGCTTGACCTCACCTTTGACAGAAGCAATTTCACACAAGAAACGTGGCCCTCGTAGACAGCAGACAGAAGAGGGGTAATGTGATGCTTATCTGGAGCCTAGGAAATGATAGAGAGAGATAAACAACCTCGTCCATAAAACGCTTCTTTTCTGCCTTCTTTTTAGATCGAAATAGGGAACTCTTGCCCATATTTCAAAATCTGCATTCACCTATTTACCCTTCTACACAAAAACCACCCAGAGTACAATTGCTAGTCTCTAAGAGAGCCACGAGAGGCCAAGCCCACAAACAGTTCCTTCCTGGGAGCCAGTGTAGTGA